CCCCAAGGCGGGGGGGACTGTCCCCATGTCCCCTCACTTCTGGCAGGGGTGGTCCTCGGTGCGGGGCAGGGTGGGGTCCTGCGAGACGTCAGCGATGATCTGCGTCAGCTCGCTGCCAGGAAGAGTAATTAACGCCCTTAATTACCCCGGGCTCTTAACAATCCTCATTAATTAACCCTAATTAGAGCCCTTAACCCTAATAACAGCCCTATTAATTACTCCCACACTAATAACTCTTCAATTATTCTCTCTTATCACTTTCCCTTATTAGCTACCCACTAATTACTCTCTAATAATTATTAATTACCCTAATTACCCCCTTATTATTAATTACCTGAAACCCATTTTTCTTTATTAGTTGCCCCATTAATTACTGACTGCTGTCCCTTATTAATCACTAATTAATTTTTCATAATTATTCCCTTATTAATAACTCTAATTTTTATTTTGCTAATTGTTTTAATTGCAGCCCTTAATTAGCCCAGGCTCTTAATCATCCTCATTAATTAATCCTAATAACCCTTCATTAACACTAATAACAGCCCTATTAATTACCACACATTAATCACCCCAAAATTATTCTCTTATCACTTTCCTTTATTAATTACCCACTAATTACTCTCTAATAATTATTAATGACCCTACTTACCTCTTCATTAATTATAATTATCTAAAAGCTGTCTTTCTTCATTAATTACCTAATTAATTACTCTCCACTCATTACTCCTAACTGCATTTCCTTACTAATCACTCATTAATTTTCCTAATTATTCCCTTATTAATATCTATTAATTTTTATTTTCCTAATTATTTCCTTATTAATTACCACATAATTCTTTAAAATTACTTTTTCTCAATTAATTAATCTTAATTACCCCTTCCCCTGGTGGGGTGAATGCTGGGACTGGGACCCACGTGTCCAGGGACCAGTAACGAACTGGGACCAGTAACGAACCCCTCCCTCCGCTAACGAGCCCCCGCTAACGAACTCACTCGACCTCGTGGGTGATCTTGTTGACGTAGATGCAGCTGTTGTCGGCCTCTTGCTGGTAATCGCAGTTGCGGCACTGGGGGAACTGGGAATTACAAACTGGTCCCAGTTCCAAACTGGGAGGGGCTGGGGCTGGTCCCAGTTCCAAACTGGGAGGACTGGGGCAGGGCATGAGGTGCTGGGACTGGTCCCAGTTCCAAACTGGGAGGGGCAGGGCATGGCATGAGGTGCTGGGACTGGTCCCAGTTCCAAACTGGGAGGACTGGGGCAGGGCATGAGGTGCTGGGACTGGTCCCAGTTCCAAACTGGGAGGGGCAGGGCATGGCATGAGGTGCTGGGACTGGTCCCAGTTCCAAACTGGGAGGACTGGGGCAGGGCATGAGATGCCGGGCCTGGTCCCAGTTCCAAACTGGGAGGACTGGGGCAGGGCATGAGGTGCTGGGACTGGTCCCAGTTCCAAACTGGGAGGGGTGGGGCATGGCATGAGGTGCTGGGACTGGTCCCAGTTCCAAACTGGGAGGACATGGGATGGTCCCAGTTCCAAACTGGAGAGGCGGGGCACAGCCCCATTAGGTGCTGGGACTGGTCCCAGTTCCAAACTGGGAGGACATGGGATGGTCCCAGTTCCAAACTGGAGAGGCGGGGCACAGCCCCATTAGGTGCTGGGACTGCTGGGGCTGGTCCCAGTTCCAAACTGTGAGGGGCAGAGCATGGCA